AATTCTGGGAGTTGAAGTCCACTCGTCTTAAAGGTGCCAAGGTTGAGAAACACTGATATAGTTGGAAAAGGCTGCAAAGGTAATCTAGACCAGAATTTTTCAAACTTGGCAACTTTAAGATGTGTGGAGTTGAAGTCCACATATCCTAAAGTTGCCAAGTTTGAAAAACACTGGTCTAGATCTTAATTTTGAAATGAGATACCAAGGTTAGTTGCTCTTTGTTAACCCTTCAGTTTAGAGTTAGTCTAGATGTGACATTAACTGTGTTTTTGCTTTTAACATGCAGCTTTTAAAAAAAAATGCAAATATCATCCATTGGGAGAATAGGGCATGTAGATAAAGCACACAGGAAGGAAGCAGATAATAGATAATAGAAGATAGAAGGTGGGAACTATAAAGTTGCTACTTTTCATTTCCTGCTGTGGTCTTGAAGACAATCACTTCTCAAAGGTAGTATTAGGATTGGGAGAAAGTGCCCATTGGCATCAGTGAGGTTTCAGAGGAAGAACAAAGTGCTAATTCGGTATTCTGTGCTCCAAATGGTTTTCATCGCAACCCACTTACCACTATTTGCAAAAATGTGAACGTTAAGGGCATTCATTTAATGTCATGTCTAGCTTGGCCCTAAACTACCCAAGTTTGGCAGATTATACTTTTAGTTTCATACACAAGCCAACTGTACCTGACAAGATGCCAATTCACACTTCTATTCACACAAGTGAAAAATCAAGCCAGAAGTTAGTAAACAATGGTAAATGCCAACCAAAAAATGCTAGAAAGAAAGCCATGGTTGACAGTGAGTTTCTACATTATGACTTATTTAGAAGCTATGAAAGATGCTGCCCAGTTTAGACATAAAGAGAAGTTATGATTAATGATGATTTTCTAGCATGTTTGCTAACTTTGTCACTTTGTGTGAGATGGGCGGCTATATAAATACTACAAATAAATAAATAAATAAATAAATAAATAAATAAATAAACTCATATGCAAATCAAATATGTGTGGGAGCATGCAGGTCATGCTTATTCTGATTTATTAAATTTGAATAAAATTATTTTTACATTACTATTACCTAGCCTAGATTAGAAGCTGAATTACTCCCGTTCTTTTTCCCAAGTTGTGAGTGAGAATTCACTGCCATGTACAGGAGAAAAATAGCAAATAACAGGTACAAAGAAGAGTGAGTATAAAGGGACAGCTACTTCAATTCTAGGATAGTCTATTTATAAATAGCATGATTAAATGTTTTCTGATTTATTTTGTTTGACCTCTTTTTTCCTTGCT